TTTGCTTCTGGGAGCCCTCTTTTGGACGTCTCTTATAAGGGCTCGGAGGCCTCCTTTGATTTTTCTGGGGGGGGGGCCTCTTGGGGCCGTCTTGGGCGTTGGGCCGTCTTAGGCCGTTGTGGGCGGTCTTGGGCGCCTGTAGGGCTGCCTGGGGCCCGTCCTCTTCTAGCCCTCTTGGGCTGTCTTGGGCGCCTCTTGGGCTGTCCTGGGGCCGCCCAGGACCGTTCTGGGGCCCCCTGGAAGCTCTCTTGGAGCGATCTTGGGGGCCTGTATGGCCGTCGTGGGCGCCGTGGACACGAGGAAAGCGAATGTGTTAAAATTGTACGGTTTCCCAAGGTTTGAGAGAGCGTGATCCACCGCCGCTTTACTGTGGAAAATTGCCGCCCTTTTCCTCTGGAACCGGGGGGTCCCCCCCCCCCCCCTCCGAAAATCCTCCTCCCTGCTGGAACCCCTCCCCCCCCCCCCTTCCCCCGGCAAAACACCCCCCCCTCCCCTAACCCCCCTAACTCCCCCCCCCCCCCCTCGAGCTCGAAAACCGGGGGGGTCACTACCGGTTCGACCCCCCCCCCCTCGAAAACTGGGGGGGGGGTCACTACGGGTTCGAACCACTGAGCTGTCCCACTGTTCCCACCACTGTCCCCACTGTCCCTACCACTGTCCCCACTGTACCTCTTTCCCATTGTCCCACCGCCGTCCTCGCCACCGCCTTCACCACTGTCCCCACCACCACTGTACCCTCCACTGTCCTACTGTTTCCACCACATTCCCACTGTCCCCACACCACTGTCCCCACCACCACCGTCCCCACCACTGTCCCACTGTCCCCACTGTTCCCACCATTGTCCTCACCATTGTCCCCACCACTACCGTCCCCACCACTGTCCCACTGTCCCCACCACTGTCCCGCTGTCCCCTCACCACTGTCCCCACCACCACCGTCCCCACCACTGTCCGCACCCCCCCTCGGTTTTCGAGGGGGGGGGGGGTTCGAACCGGTAGTGACCCCCCCGGTTTTCGAGCTCGAGGGGGGGGGGGTTCGAACCGGTAGTGACCCCCCCCCTTTTCATGATGAACTGGGGGGGGGGGGAGGGGTTCGAACCGCTAGTTACCCCCCCCGGTTTTCCGGAGGGGGTGGGGGGGGGGGAGAGGTTCGAACCGGTAGTGACCCCCCCCCGGTTTTCCGCTAGCAGCGGTAGAACACGCTCTTTCCAAGGTTTGGGACGAAGCACTCTTGGATGTCTCCTTTGGGCCTCTCCGAGGCCTCTTGGGGCCGTCTTGGGCGCCTCGTGGGCCGTCTTAGGCCGTTTATGTAGGGCGGTCTTGGGCGCCTCTGGGGCTGCCTCGGGCCCGTCTTGCGCCGCTCTTCGAGCCCTCTTGGGCTGCCCTGGGCGCCTCTTGGGCTGCCCTGGGCGCCTCTTGGGCTGTCCTGGGGCCGCCTTGAACCGTCCTGGGGCCCCTGGAAGCCCTCTTAGGGCGTCTTGGGGCGATCTATGTTAAAATTGTGCGTCTTCCTTCGGGATTGGGACGGATTTTGCTTCTGAGCCCTCTTGGACGTCTCTTGGAAGGACTTGGAGGCCTTCTTTGGGCCTCTTGGGTCCGTCTTGGGCGCCTCTTGGGCCGTGTCAAGCTGTCTAGGGTGGTCTTGGGCGCCTCTAGGGCTGTCTCGGGCCCGTCTTGGGCCGTTCTTCGAGCCCTCTTGGGCTGTCCTGGGCGCCTCTTGGGCTGTCCTGGGGCCGCCTGGGACCGTTCTGGGGCTCCATGGAGGCCCTCTTGGGGCGTCTTGGAGCGATCTTGGGGGCTTGTGTGGCCGTCTTGGACGCATTGCAAACGCAAAGCGCAGGAATTGCAAAAATGCCAGTTGTCCCTAGGGAGGGGGACGATTTTTCCTTGTTCGAGCTCTCTTGGGCCGTCGGGAGGCCATCTTGGACGTCGTGGAGCGCTCTTGGACCTTTTCGGAGGCCCTCTTGGGCCGTCTGGGGCCGTCTTGGGGCCCTCGTGAAGGCCTCCAGGGGCGCCTCGGAGCGCTCTTGGGCCATCTTGGTGCGTCTCGGAGCGCGCCGGGGCCTGCTGGGGCTCGCAGGGGCCTGCTACGCCATTTTGGTCCGAATCGCCTTTCTCGCGCGCGCGGGGCCCTGCATTGTAGTATAGACTAGGGCTGACCCACGGCCTTCGGGCCGCGGAATCTGCCCGCCATGGCGTGGACATGGATGTGGAGCGTCTCTGGGGCCTCGCGGGCAAGGAGAGGGTGGAGGGGACGGCGTGGAATGAGGTGGCCACTGGCTGGAGGTGGAGGCGAGCGGGGGATGCAGGCAAGCAGGCCTGAAGGCAGGAACGCGGTGGTGGAGGCGGTGCCAGTGGAAGCACACTCATGTAGGCATGACATGGTGTGAACAGAAGCTGTTTCTGACGCCGCAGTTTGTGTTCATCATAGTTTCTGCGGGGAAGGTAGCCGTGAGAAGTTATCTGCTTTTCGCCAGGGCCGAATGATAATTGTATCTAGTAATCTGGTGACAACGGGGCCATCGGGCGCGGCCTAGGAAATCCGCCACAGTGCCTGTGCCTGGGTGATGGCTCAGAAGTCTCTGGGGTCCCTCTTGGAGGCAGCTTTGGGGCCTCTTGGGGGCCGTCTTGGGGCCTCGTGGGGCTTGCTTTGGGCTTCTTGGGGGCCTCTGGGTACATCTTGGCGTTCCCTTGGGGGGGCCCAGGGCTCGGAATGTCAGGGTTTTTCCCCGTTCTTTGGTTCTCTCTTGGGCCTGGCTTGGGGTCCTCTGGGGCCGTCTTGGGCGCCTCTTGGGCCATCTTGGGGCTCCCTGGGCCGTCTGGGGACGCACTTGGAGGCCTGATGGGCCGTCCTGGGACGGTCTTGTGGGTCTCGTCGGCCGTCTTGGAGCGTCGGCTAGCGAGAAGGCAAAACTCCTTCAACAACCATTAAACAATTCAAGATTTTGGTCTCTGAGGGCATGCTTCGGAGGACTGTGGGAGGCTCTTGGAGGCCTCTAGGGCCTTGTTGGGGGCATCTAGGGCGTCTCTTGAGCGCTCCCTGGAGCATCTTATGGCAACTTCGGCGCGTCTTTGGGCGAAAGGTTCGATTTGTGACGCTCGGGGACCAGGATCTGCGTAAGGGGTGTCGAACAATGGCCCTCACTTCGGCGCGTCTTTGGGCGAGGGCTCGATTTGTGACGCTCAAGGGCCAGGATCTGCGTGAGGGGTGGCGAAAAACTGCCCTCCAGGGGGCACATTAATTCACATGCACTGGGGCTCCCTGGGCCGTCTGGAGACGCGTTTGGAGGCCTGTTGGGCTGCCCTGGGGCGGCCTTGTGGGTGTCTTCGGCCGTCTTGGAGCGTCGGCTAGCCGAGAAGGCGAGAAGGCAAAACTCCTTCAACAACCATGGAGAAATGCAGGCGTTTGGCCTCTTAGGGCATGCTTCGGAGGACTCTTGGAGGCCTCTTGGGCCTTGTTGGGGGCCTCTAGGGGGCCTCTTGGGCGCTCCGCGGAGCCTCTAGCCGAGAAGGCAACACTCCTTGAACACCAATGTAAAAATGACATAGTTTGGCCTCTTAGGGCATGCTTCCGAGGACTCTTGGAGGCTCTTGGAAGTCTATTGGGCCTTGTTGGGGGCCTCTAGGGGTCCTCTTGGGCGCTCCGTGGAGCCGCTTATGGCGCCACTTGGAGGCCGTCTTGCGGCCTTGTGTGGCTTGCTCTGGGCTTCGTTGGGGCCTCTGGGGACCTCTTGGCGTCCCCTTGGGGGGGTCTTGGGGTCTTGTGTGGACGTATGAGGGCCCAGGGCTCGGACAGGGTTTTTCCGCGTTCTTGGGCCCCCTCTTGGGCCTGGCTTGAGGTCCTCTGGGGCCGGATTGGGCGCCTCTTGGGCCATCTTGGGGCTCCCTGGGCCGTCTGGGGACGCGCTTGGAGGCCTGATGGGCCGTCCTGGGACGGTCTTGTGGGTCTCGTCGGCCGTCTTGGAGCGTCGGCTAGCGAGAAGGCAAAACTCCTTCAACAACCATTAAACAATTCAAGATTTTGGTCTCTGAGGGCATGCTTCGGAGGACTGTTGGAGGCTCTTGGCGGCCTCTTGGGGGTCCTTGGGGCCTTGTGTGGGCGTATGGGGGCAGGTTTTGTCCCAGTTCTTTGACCCCCTCTTGGGCCTGGCTTGGGGTCCTCCGGGGCCGTCTGGGGCGCCTCTTGGGCCATCTTGGGGCTCCCTGGGCCGTCTTGGGACGCGCTTGGAGGACTGTTGGGCCGTCCTAGGGCGGTCTTGTGGTTCTCTTCGGCCGTCTTGGAGCGTCGGCTAGCCGAGAAGGCGAGAAGGCACAATTCGTTTAAAAACCATTGAGAAATGACAGATTTTGGCCTCTGGGGGCATGCGTCGGGGTACTGTTGGAGGCTCTTGGCGGCCTCTTGGGGGGGTCTTGGGGCCTTGTGTGGGCGTATGGGGGCCCAGGACTCGGAGTGTCAGGGTTTTTCCCCGTCCTTTGGTTCTCTCTTGGGCCTGGCTTGGGGTCCTCTGGGGCCGTCTTGGGCGCCTCTTGGGCCATCTTGGGGCTCCCTGGGCCGTCTGGGGACGCGCTTGGAGGCCTGATGGGCCGTCCTGGGGCGGTCTTGTGGGTGTCTTCGGCCGTCGTCTTGGAGCGTCGGCTAGCCGAGAAGGCGAGCAGGCAAAACTCCTTCAAAAACCATGGAACGATCAAGGATTTTGGACTCTGGGGACATGCTTCGGAGGACTGTTGGAGGCTCTTGGAGGCCTCCAGGTCCTTGGTGGGGGCCTCTAGGGAGCCTCTGGGGCCTTGGTGGGGGCCTCTAGGGGGCCTCTTGGACGCTCCTTGGAGCCTCTGATGGCCATTTCGGCGCGTCTTTGGGCGGAGGGCGCGATTTGCGACGCTCGGGGGCCAGGATCTTCGTGAGGGGTGTCGAAGAATGGCACTTCAGGGGGCGCATCGGTCCACATGCGCTCTTTTCACGTTGTGGCAAGCGCTGATGTCCGCCATAGAAAAGAGATGACGTTGGGCTTGAGCTTCGCCTTCCGCATCTCGCTGAGCAGCGCCAGCGCTGGCTGCCACTGATCGCCCTTCTCGCACGCGCTGATCGTAGCGCTGTAGCTGATGACGTCGGGCACCAACTTCGCTTTCCGCATCTCGCTGAGCAGCGCCAGCGCCGGCTGCCACTGCTCGCCCTTCTCGCACGCGCTGATCCCAGCGTTGTAAGAGACCAGGGCGGGACCGCGGACTTCGTCCACGACCTGCAGGTTCCCCTGGCGCGCCCTCACGTTGGGCCCCCGCCCAAGCAAAGGTCAACCTGAAACCTTCGTTGAATTGTTCACGCCGCCTTTCCGAAATCGGAAGGCGGGCGCTTCCTCCTCTTCGTCCGCCTTCCGCTCCACGTCCGCCTGGACAGCCTTCGGAGCGTCAAGACGGCTATGGTGGGTCTGCGGTGTGTCTCTCGCCGCTTGTCTGCTCCCTCTGGTTTGAACAATGTTGAAAACACTTGGGGCCTAGAAAAAAATCACCCAGAGGGCTCTGGTGACTGTTTTTTGGTTGCCTTTTCGAAACCTGATGGCGGGCGCTGCCTTCTCCTTGGGAACTGTTTGGGGCCTCTCGGGGTTTCTTTTCGGCCTCCAGGGGGCCTCTTGGGGCCCTCGTGGGCCGTCTTGCGGCCTCCTGGCAAGCGTATGGGGCCCCCAGGTCCGCCCCCAGAAATGTCATTCCTGGCACTATTCGCACTCGCTGGCCCAAGACTTGTATGATAGATGATGTCGAGCTCCAGCTTCGCCTCCGACACGGCACTGAGCAGCGCCAAAGCACGGTGCCACTGCTCGCCCTTCCCACACGCGCTGATCCCAGAGTTGTAGGAGACGACGTCGGGCTTCAGCTTCGCCTGCCGCATCTCGCTGAGCAGCACCAAAGCCCAGCGCCAAAGATTGCCCTTCTCACACGCGCTAATCCCAGCGTTGTAGCTGACTAGGGCGAACCCGTGGACCTCGTCCACGACCAGCAGGTCCCCTGGCGCGCCTCCGCGTTGGGCCCCCGCCCCCAAAAAAGTCACCCCGAAGCCTTCGGTGACTTTTCCGGCCGCCAGTCCGAAGTTGGAAGGCGGGCGCTTCCTCCCTTCGTCCGCCTTCCGCTCCACGTCCGCCTGGACAGCCTTCGGAGCGTCAAGACGGCTATGGTGGGTCTGCGGTGTGCCTCTCGCCGCTTGTCTGCTCCCTCTGGTTTGAACAATGTTGAAAGAAAACGCATGGGGCCTAGAAAAAAATCACCCGGAGGGCTCTGGTGACATTTTTTTGGTTGCCTTTTCGAAACCTGATGGCGGGCGCTGCCTTCTCCTTGGGAACTGTTCGGGGGCCTCTCGGGGTGTCGTCTTCGGCCTACAGGGGGCCTCTTGGAGCCCTCGTGGGCCGTCTTGCAGCCTCCTGGGGGCCTCTTGGGTCCCTCTTGGGCCCTCTTGGGTGCCTATTGGGGCCGTCTCGGGCCGTCTTGGGCGCATGTGGTGCCGTCTTGGCACCCTCTAGAAGCCCTCTTGGGCAATTTTTGACCGCTCTTGGGGCTGTCTTGGGTGCTTCCTGGGCTGTCACGGGCGCCACAGGAACCGTCCAGGGGCTGTCTGGGGCCGTCTTGGAGGCCTGCTGGGGCCCTCCTGAGGCGTCTTGGGGCCATCCTTGGGGCCTGTATTGTCGTCTGGGACGCTTTACAAACGAAAAGCACAGGAAGTACGAACATATACTTGTTCCCCAGGGTTTGGCACGTTTTTTGCTTGTGCGGGTTCTGTCGGGCGTCTTCTGGGAGCCCACTTGGAGCGTTTCGGGACCTCTTGGGCCGTGTGGAAGCTATCTTGCGCGCCTTGAGCGCTCTTGGACCCTCTCGGAGGCCCTTCTGAACCGTCCTGGGACGTCTTAGGGCTCTGTTGGAGGCCTCCCGGGGCGTCTCGGAACGCTCTTGGGCCATCTTGGAAGCGCACCAGGGCCTGCTGGGCCTCGCTGGGGCCCGCCGGGGCGCCGAAAACCTGTATCGGACCCCCGCCCTTTTCGCATGCACTGGTCCCTGCAATGTCGTAGACATGACGCTGGGTTCCAGCTTCACCTCCCACATCTCACTGAGCAGCGCCAAAGCCCGGTGCCACTGATCGCCCTTCTCACACGCGCTAATCCCAGCGTTGTAGCTGACTCAGGCTGACCCGTGGACTCCGTCCACGACATCTTGCCGACGTGGCGAGTCGACGAACGTCCTGGGCGAGGGTTGATTGCTCCACCCCAGGGCGTCGGAAAATAAACTTCAAAATCGGAGCTTGTTTTCCGTGGGTCTGTGTGGGGCTTCTGTTCTGCCTTGTAAGAACCTCTTGGGGCCCTGTTGCGCCGTCTGGCGGCCTCCTGGGAGCCTCCTGGGGCCCTCTTGGGCCGTCTTGGGCGGCTGCGGGGCCGTCCTCGGACCGCCTTGGGGCTCGCTTGGGTCGTCTTTGGCCCCTCTTTGGGCTGTCATGGGAGCCTCTTGGGCCGTCATGGGCGCCTCAGGAGCCGTCCTGGGACCGCCTTGGGCCGTCGTGGGGCCCTCCTGGGTCCTCTTGTGACGATCTTGGGACAATATTGTCGTCTTGGGCGCTTTGAAAACGAAAAGCACGGGAATTGCCCAAATGAGCGTTTTCCTTAGGGATTTGGAGGATTTGTCCTCGTTCGGGCTCTCTCGGGCCTCTTCTTGGAGCTCACTTGGAGCAATTGGGGCGCCTCTTGGGCCGTCTGGAGGCTATCTTGGGCGTCTTTGAACGCTCTTGGACCATCTCGGAGGCCCTCTTGGACCGTCTTGGGGCGTCTTGGGGTTCTCTCGGGGAGCTCCGATCGGGTCTCGTAACGCTCTTGGGCCCTGGAAACGCGCCGAGGCGAGCTGGGGCTGGCGGGGGCCCGCAGGGCCCGCAGGGGGCGCCAGAGGAATGCGTCCGACCCCCGCCCTTCTCGCACGCGCGGGCCCCTGCAACGTAGTAGAGACTATGGCTGACCCTTGGACTACCGTCCACGAATGCCAGAGGATTGAGCGTGCGCTCGTTGCTGCTTATCGCTTCAGGGTGCGCTGTTTGCTTGGTGGTCCTGACGGCGTCTGGAGCAGCGCTAGCAGCAGCAGCAGCAGCAGCAGCAGCAGCAGCAGCAGCAGCAGCAAGCAGCAAGCAGCAGCAGCAGCAAGCAGCAGCAGCAGCAGCAGCAGCAGCAGCAGCAGCAGCAGCAGCAGCAGCAGCAGCAGCAGCAGCAGCAGCAGATCCGGCACCATCGGCAGTAGCAGCAGCAACAGCTGCAGAAGCAGCTCCAGCCTGCTGCTTGTCGTGCCAGCAGTGCCGCGTGCTGTAGCAGGCTGTCCCCAGCGGGGTCATCGGGGAAGCGGCGGGGGGGCCCTCCGATACCCGGGAGGGGGTCCTCGTGGGGCTCTGTGGGAGCCTCTGGAGAGCCTCTGGGAGCCTCTTGAGAGCTCTTGGGGGCGCCTCTGAAGCCTTCTGGGAGCCTCTGGAGAGCGCCCGGTGGCCTCTTGGGAACGCCTCCGGGGCCTTCTGGGGGCCTCTCGGAGGCGTCTTGGAGCCTTCCTGGCCGTGGAGGGGCCCGGAGGGGGGGAGAAGCGCTCCGAACTGGACCCGCTTGGGCGTTCCTTGGGGCCGTCTGCGGGGGGTTCTTGGGCTGTCTTGGGGGCCCCGGGAGCTCGAGATCGGGGGCCTCTGGGGCTGTCTTGGGGACTCTCTTGGAAGCCCCCCGGGCAGCATGGACCTGATTTCGGACGCCCGCGGTGCCGTGGTGGGCGTCTTGGGGCGGACGGGAGGAGCACCACCGGAAACGTCAAAAACCTTCGAGAATATCGAAAATTAGTTCTGCGGCCTCGGGGCCCTCGAGGGGGTCCCCTGGGAGCTCCGTGGAAGTTCGTGGGGGCCGAGCCCGTCCTGGGGCCCTCTCGGGCTCGCTGGGGAGCTCCCTGGAGACTCTCGAGGCCTCCGTCGGGGCCCTCATTGGCCGTCCCGGGGCTGTCCTGGGCCGGGACGGCGTCACCCCACGGGCGGGGCCCCCGGGGCGCCGCCGCGGGTGACCATCGCTCGCCCTTATCGCACGTGCAAGTGCCCGGTATTGTAGTACAGATGACGTCGGGTTCCAGCTTCAACTCCCGTATCTCGCTGAGCAGCGCCAAAGCCCGGTGCCACTGATCGCCCTTCTCACACGCGCTAATCCCAGCGTTGTAGCTGATGACGTTGGGTTCCAGCCTCACTTCCAACATCTCACTGAGCAGCGCCAAAGCCCGGTGCCACTGCTCTCCCTTCTCGAACGCGCTGATTCCAGCGTTGTAGGAGACTAGGGCAAACCCGTGGACCTCGTCCACGACCAGCAGGTCCCCCTGGCGCGCCTCCGCGTTGGGACCCCGCCCCCAAAAAAGTCACCCCGACGCCTTCGGTGACTTTTCCGGCCACCTCTCCGAAATTGGAAGGCGAACGCTTCCTCCTCTTCGTCCGCCTTCCGCTCCACGTCCGCCTGGACAGCCTTCGGAGCGTCACAGTCGGCTATGGTGGGTCTGCGGTGTGCCTCTCGCCGCTTGTCTGCTCCCTCTGTTTTGAACAATTTTGACAGCACCTGGGGCCTAGAAAAAAATCACCCGGAGGGCTCTGGTGACTTTTTCCAGTTGCCCTTTCGAAGCCTGATGGCGGGCGCTGCCGTCGCCTTGGGAACTGTTTAGGGGCCTCTCGGGGTGTCTTCTTCGGCCTCCTGGGGGCCGCTTGGGGCCCTGTTGGGTTGTCTTATGGCCTCCTGAGGCCCTCTTGGGGCCCTCTTGGGCCGTCTTGGGTGCCTCTTGGGGCCGTCTCAAGCCGTCTTGGGCGCCTTTGGGGCCGTCTTGGGACCGTCTGGAGGCCCTCTTGGGTCATCTTTGGCCGCTCTTGGGGCTGTCTTGGTCTTGGGCTGTATGGGCGCCACAGGATACGTCCTGGCACCGTTTGGGGCCTGCTCGGAGCCTCCTGAGGCGTCTTGGGGCGATCTTGGGGGCCTGCATTGTCGTCTGGGACGCTCTGAAACGAAGAACACAGGAAAGCGTTTTGGGGGCCTCTTGGACCGTCTGGAAGCTATCTTGAGCGTCTTCGAGCGCTCTTGGACCCTCTCGGAGGCCCTCTTGAATCGTCCTGGGACGTCTTGGGGCTCTGTTGGAGGCCTCCCGGGGCGTCTCGGAGCGCTCTTGGGTCATCCTGGAAGCGCACCGGGAACTGCTGGGCCTGCAATGTAGTAGAGATGACGTCGGGCTCCAGCTTCGCCTCCCACATCTCAATGAGCACTGACAGCGCGTGTTGCCATTGCCCGCCTTTTCTGCATGCGCTGGCAGTCGCAACGTAGTGGCTTGGAACGAGTTGCACACCTAATCGAATTCCTTCGCGGAGCAACCGAAGTGCTGCGCTCCATTGTTTTGTCCGACCGCAGTTCTTGAACAACAGTTCGATGGCAACAGCGCCTTCTCGAGACCCTCGACCGATGTCCAGCATCCGATCTTGAACCAACAGCTTTCAGAACCTCCTCATGCCCAGCAGTGGGCATTTTGGATCAGGGCGGCGCTTACCGCGCCTCAGGTACAGCAACTTGGCACGGCGACATGACTGCTGCTCTCCAGCAGACCTGGAGGGGCCTGCATCCAGAGGAAGCGAACATATTGATGGATCTCGCTGGATATTTTCGCAGAGCTACGCTTGATTGGTTTGTTGGCTTGTCGGCGGGTCCAGGGGTCTCTGGCGACGCAGGATGCGTTTCTAACGGCGCTAGAGGCCCCCAAGACGCCCTAAATGGCCTTTAAGATGACGCCCAAGACCGCCCCGAGAGGGCAACATCGTTTATGTTCAGTGTTTTTGTTCCATGCTTTTTGCATTCTCGCTGTTTCGTGTTTCCAGCGCTA